TTACGAAACTAACCTATTAGCAAGTGTGTTTAAAGTTTAGTAAGTATGTTATTTTGGTTGTTATATAACTATAGTCTATTAAGTATCGTATAAAAGTGTATTTCTTAATAATTTCTTCATTTCGCAACAAAAAACAAAATGGCACGGCAGTACCTATAGTAATTTATTTACCTTACAGCGAAAACTTTGGTTTTCATTAATAAAATTATATTTGTTGAAATGATATGACCACACCTACTGCAGTACTTAGTTTGCAAACCAGTAAAGGATAACTATTTTTGTATTAGCTTTCCTCTAAATTCATCCGTGAAAATGTCAAAAAATATCATCTATTTATCTAAGTATAAACAAATTAATAATATTAAATATAATATTTCTCATAGTAAAAAATACTGGAACAAAAAGTAAAGATAAAAAAACATGAAATTTGGTTTGATCTTCGACACCGCGAGTGTCCAGTGACAGCACATTGCGTCCCACAAAAAACTAGTAATTTTCGTGAAAATGCTGTACATTATTGTTTAGCATACTGTAATTATAATTCTCAAATGACATGGTAAATTGAGTAACTTCATTCAATAGTAACTGATTCCCTTTTTTGATATCTGTTTTACCTATTTATTGAATTATTTTGTTTACAAAATATAATTGTTTAGGTATTTTTTTACTAAAATAACGGTCTACGGCATCTTTTTTGCATAAAAATGTCAAACTTTTAATTTAACTTTATGGAAATTTTTACAGCAATAAAATTTATAAACTAGACTAAATAAATAAAATAATATTTAATTACAGAATACCTACATTAATATTCTAAATTACTTTGAGGAATTATTCAATTATCAGCTCTTTTAGGTCCCCACTGCAGGGGCTCAGGCCTCCCTGATGGATGGTTAAGGAGGATGGGCCATGATCCTCCACGTTGGCCCAATGCGGATTGGTGGGTATTAACGACTGCAAATGCAGCCGGGACCAACAGCTTAACGTGCCTTCCGAAGCACCGAGTAGCTCGAGATAATAATTTTTTGGTCACCCACCCACGATAACGATCGCGGGCCGCGGCGCTTATCCACTACGCCACCGAGCTACTTAATGAATAACATATACCTATAAAAACAATGGAAGAGCAAAAAAAATAATAGGAAAAGAAAAAAGTGAAAACGAAACTTCTCTGATTGAATTGGAACACGACATGTATTTTATTGGAACTATTCACAATGCTATACTGAAAAATATCACTCGACGCACGAAAATGTCACTCTGACTTGCACTTACGTAATATTTTAAAGAAATATTTATTGTCACATTTTATATTGTTTAATAATCAAATAAAATGTACATACTACTTTGGAGTTATTTTGTATCAAGTGAAGTTAACACAATCGTGTTTCGGTTACAACCACAAGATCAGAAATACGATCAAGTATAACCACATTTTTTCTGGTGAGCTATAGATTTCCCGTGAATTAGTACGATTCAATCTCAATATTATCGATTCAGTTCTATTGAGCCCCTTAAATGCTATGATGCACAAGTTCATAAACCAAAGATAAATACTTCATTCAGACAAAAAAAAAATATATACCACAAATAAACTTGATATATGTCAGTGACGGTGGATGATTATTTTATAGGATATATCAATGCTCATCTATATATTCGATAGACCATTTAGGTCTATCGAAGATAGACTATCGTCATCTTTCATTCATTTCATTTTACACGTAGAAATTAATTTATTCACTAGACATTGACAAAATTTTGCGAAATGCGCAGATAAGCCATTAATAAAAAAAAGGAAAAGAAGTCTATGGAATTATTAATTTTACACGCGATGTTTTTTTTCGTTACCTACACTAACTTGCTGTATGTATGTACAATTATGGGGTGAATGATATTGTGTAACTATGCTCGCCGTATGATATGCTAGTCGATACTCATAACATGTAAGAATCATAATTAAGGACTATATGTCTCAGAATTATATTTCGTCTCGAAAGTATTATTGGTAGGTATTTAATCATTATGGTATTGCGATGTAGGTACAATCGTAGTTGTTTATAAAATACCTTGCTAAACCCAAATTTTTCGTAATGTGTAGATTTGTAAGATGCCCACACTGTTCCCCAGCAATAAGTATAACTGTGTCCATACATAAATAATCTTTTAGTTCATAAAAATGAAATAACGGTTTTTTTTTTATTATATTGTAAATGCGTTTTCTAACTGGGGTGTATAAGGATGCGCGTTATTACCAGAGGTCGGAATTAGGTAGAGTTATTTATGTACTTGCATCGAAATGTTGATATTAATGTGGACCTTCCCGGGATTTCTTTATTTTTTCTTTCTTTATTTCTTTATTTCTTTTTTTCATTGATGTAAGTTTGGCAACGTCGTGCGTGTAGTAGTTTAAATTGTGTAAAAGTAAATAACTTTTTATTTAAAAAATCACGGGATTTTTTCTGCTCTTTAAAATTCCGACCACTGGTTATTTCTGTAACACGTTTTATAAAAAAATCTAACATCTTCACGACCCATGGCCAGTACGCTATTGATGTTAACATAAAAACTTGATATATTTTCAGAATACGCAATCGAGGAACTTGCGAATGGTGTGTGTACCCATCGTGTCGAACACTATATGCTCACTCTATTATATGACGAAGAAAATACATCATACATGTTTGTGTGCTGGTGAGGATGAGAAAGACTCTTGTGAGGTATGCGTTGTCCCTAAATGTCTGATTTTTTTTTTCTTAACTTCCAAAAACAAAACTGCGGCTAGTTATTTTTAAAGTAAATTGGGCTTACTCACTCAAGTTGTCAAACAAATATAAAATTTAAAAATCTAATACCCAGTTGCGAAAACGTCCATTAAGATTTAATGACGATATTACGCTCTAATAAATGTTCTAAATTTGCATAGTAAACACCTAGATGTACAAACGTCAATTAAAATTGTCATTAGCTTAAGGCGATATTTCTAATACAAATTTTTAAATTAATAACATTCATTAGAGCTTAAAGTCGCCATTACATGTTTGTGAAACTGATCGAATGTTGCTTTAAACTAATGACAATAGGGATGTAGACAATATTTTTTAAATATTTTTGTTTTATAGATATATAAGAAATATATCTAAAATATTCTTAATAAAAAATCCATTTGGTCCCTGGCATCCATCCCATGTCTGTGTGCCAGAGGCCAAGTGGAATTTTTATTTTTTATTAAGAATATTTTTCAGTATAGCATTTTGAAATGAAACGAAATGAAATGAAAATATCTTTATTCAAGTAGGCACAAGCACTTTTGAATCGTCCAAAAAAATTTTTATCCCCTACCACTTGTTTAGGACGTCTTTTAGCTGACAAGAAGAACAAGCGAAAGAAACTTACCAGCTTTTTATCATAAGTAATTAATGACATTTACATAATTCATGTCATTACCAAAATAATATGTATTATCATAATAATAAATACAACTTTCAAAGTCTGTAGGCCATAGGTTGAACATATAATTAGTCTTTATAGAACAAAGCGAAGGCTATTAATTCCATGCATTTCGATCCTTAAAATAATCATCAACTTTATAATAGCCTTTACTCATAATAAGAATTTTACATGAAAATGAATTTTATTTATGGGTAGGTCAATTACATTTTGTGGAACTTTATTGAACATAGCAATACATTTACCCAGAAATTATCCTCTGGTTTTTTGAAGTCTGAAGCTTGGAACAGCAAGTTTATTTTTATTTCTTGTGTTAAGATTATGAACACTACTTTTTTGTGAAGGAATCGTAATTTTTTCTTGTGTACATAATATTCTCATAGATGTATTGAGAGGCAACAGTCAGAATATTTATTTCTTTAAATATTTCTCTGAGAGATTCCCTAGACCGTAAATTATATATAGCACGGACAGCTCTCTTTTGAAGAATAAAAATATCCTGAATGCTAGACGCAGAACCCCACAACAATATACCATACGTCATTACACTATGAAAATAACTAAAATATACCAATCTTGCCGTTTCAACATTTGTCAAGAGTCTAATTTTCTTAACAGCAAAAGCTGCATATCTAAAAAATATATATTTTTGACATATTTCCCGCGAAAACGCCAACTTCTATTCTTGCGTCGCTATGAATGAGATCACGCCCCTCTTAAACAAAAATCATTGTTTATTGTTTAATTATCGAAATTCTAATATGAGTGAGAGGATTGTAACGTCACGGACTGTTTGCGTTCACGTGATAACCAGTACAAAAAAAAAATTGAATAATTAATTTAAGCAATATTATAAATATAATAAGCATAAAAGTGTGATTATCGGTAACAGTATATGAAATACTACCAGAAAAAAATATTTCGACACCTGCAAGGAAGAACATCGTAACTCACTTTTAGGTGGTATTGACTTACAATGACATTCTTATTCAGCAAAAAATATGGATTTTTTCACTCTGACCCTTGTATCTAAATTCATTATAATAAAAAATCTGCACAGATTAAAAACATTGTAAGTGGAGGTCCACTGAAGTTACTTAAATCGTATATTCAGTTACATGCTATTTTCATTGACTAATATTATTATCTTACATTAATAAAATTGTAATACTAGATACAATCACGTACTTTTAATTTTCTGCGTCATATTATAATTTTATCTTTAATTACAATCTTATTTTTGGAAAGATCTATTCGAATTATAGATAGATTTCATCGTAACGTGAGATACAATGCTTTCATTCTAAAAAAAAACCCATAATATTCAGTTCAATATTGTAACATGACATACAATTGTTTTCTTCGTAATATTTTGCATGCTGGGTGCATAATATGCCTATTTAAGTCGTACTTACAATGTTTTCACTCCCCGAGTCTTTGCGGAGAACAGGTTTCGACGTGATTAGTTTTGTGCGAGTTACTGATAGATATTGTTCGTTTTAATTTATTTTATTTTAAAACAGTGCCAAACGCAAAACTTCGTGTTTAATATGTGTCGCCGCAGTAAGATAATTGAGTTGGCTTTAGCTAAAAGTGAAATAACTAACAGCAATGCTGGTAAGTAGGCAATGTTTCTTTTTATTATGCAAACTTTCATATGTTGCACACTGTAGATTAATAAAGAACCAAAAACTCACTGTTTCGTTTTCAGAGGAAAACACAACAAGTCACAATGACAGAGTCGTTCCGGTGAATGAACAATTAATGTTGAACATGCCACCAGTTTTTGTAGAAACAGGTACCTATATTCCCTTTTTAACTGCGTTGTAGTTCGTGGACTAATTTAAATGCATAAGTTTGTTCTAAACATAATGCAATGATGATAATTTTGGTTTAATTTCTAGGTGATGAGTTGTTAAATTTTAAATATAACCTCCGACAACGTACTCCGGTGAAAATACAGAACAATCTCTCAATATTTAATGGAACAGAAGAGGTTTACTCACCAGTAGTTTCGGAATACCTACCGCCTATAGAAAACGGTAAGATAATATGATATACCTATCTACGTCCTTAAATTGTTTTCTATCTTATTACTGTACAGAGGGTAAATTAAAGCTTACTCGAAAAGGAGGTCTACGTCAGAAAAAACGTAAAAACTATTACCTTATATGCTAATTTTGTTCGTAGGCTCTTCAGTTTTAACACCAGATGCTGATACAGAATCATTAAAAGAGCAAGATATAGAAAATTATAAAAATCACGAAATCGAGGATGCTTTGCAGGAAACAGGTAAAATTTCTATACTATTTGACTTTAATGAAACTATTTTATAACTTATTGATTATAAATTTCATATTATTATTTAATTTTTATACAAGTTCAAAACGTAAAAGAGCATTATATACTGCTGGTCGAGGGACAGCCTACCGCTTCAACATACCAAAATTCTTTTTTATCACCTAATGCTGTCATAGAACTAGTTGAAGAAAACGTTGAAGAAAAATTCCGGAAATGAACAAATACAAAATGATTTACAGGAAAATGGTATGTTAATTTTTTTTATATACACAACGGGGAAGTGTTTGACCTTCATCTCACCTGATGTTAAGTGACGATAAGGCCGAAGATGGAAGCGCACTTCACCCGGAATCCTCTACAACTGAGGAACTGGCTATCTTATCTGTAACTGCCGGAATACAACAATGCTGTTAACATTGTTGCTATGACGGCAGACTTAGATAAGGTGGTGGTAGCTAGCCAGGCGGACTTAGAAAAGTCCTACCACCAACCAAACCGAGTACAAATTTGTACCCCCTGGGAATCGAACCCGGGACCTCTCGGTCGAAACCTGACGGCTTAACCGTTAGACCACAGAGGCGGTTGAAAATATTTTTTTTTTTTGACTGCTGCTACGTATTGTAGATTTTTTGAGTATATCTAGCTATGTTACAGAATTTAAATAAAATTTAAGAACATTCATAATATTGTTTATTAATAATATTGTTTATTTAATCATAATATTGTTTATTTTTGTTTATTGTCTGCATGACTAAATCCTTTGTGTGTAGTTCAACAGTATATTTACTGTCATATGCGTGATCAGCTAACAGCACTGTAAATTGCTTAATTTGAATTAATTCACTTATATTTTTCAGTTCTACCGGTTTTGATACAAAACACTGATACCGAATCAATTAATAAATAAGCTGTGCAAAATGTAACAGAATTTTTTGAGGAGCAAGTTGACGGAACATTTAGGAATGAACATAACAATATATTACAAGAAATTCGTAAATTTGTCTATTTAATTGCTATGTGACATAGATAAAAAAATATTTATTATTAAAATTTCAGAAAATGACTCTCATTTCTCTTTTTGATATTACAGAACTAAACGTAGTTCAAAATAGAGATGAAAACTTTACCAAAGATTCTGCACAAGCTACTACTTCAACAAATAATAAAAAGAAAAGATATCCGAAAAAAAAATACGCCAGGAAGGAAAAGAGTTACGAATAGAGCAAATTGGAAAAATTCTATTTGTAAAATGAAGAAGAATTTAGGTGAAGAATTTGTTAATAAAAACGGACAGTTAATTCCACAAAAAGAGATAAAGCCGAGCTGTGATAATAAGTGTTCACGTAAGTATCGTGAGTCTATTACAGAAAACCAAAGATATTCACTGTTCACAGAGTTTTGGAAATTGGGCGATCATAATAAACAAGTGGAATATATAAGTCGATTTGTAAAAAGAGTTGGAAAAAAGCAAGTAACCATTCGCACAGCTGCCACAAGTCGGCGTAAATGGTCTTTTGAGTATTACTTGTTTATAGATGGCAAAGAAGTTCGAACATGCAAAACAATGTTTTTAAATACTTTTTCCATAAGCGACGTGTGGTTGCAAACTTTTTTAAAAAAAGTTGATAATTCTTCTTTAGGTTCTATTTCCGACGACAAGCGAGGTCGCAATGGTACACGAAAAAATGCGATACCGGACCAGGTAAAAGAATCCATCCGGTACCACATTTCACAAATGCCATTGGTAGATTCGCATTACGTGAGGAGCAGGACATCTAAAAAGTATCTCGATGAGCAATTGAGTTTACCATTACTTTATAAACTTTATTTAGAATGGATGAATAATAACTATTTCGGTCAAGTGGTAGCTACTTTGAGGCAATATAGAAAGATATTTATGACTGATTTCAACATAGATTTTAATAAACCGAAAAAAGATCAATGCACCCGATGTGATATATTTAAAAACGCATCTGAAACAGAAAAAACAAATTTAAAATATAAAAAAACATTACATATTGCTAATAAACATGTTGTGAGGGCATTGAAGGATTTTGATAAACGCCGGGCTGAACAATCGGATACTGTTGTAGCCGCTTGTTACGATTTGCAAAAAGTATTGAATACCCCACAATCAGAAGTATCACTTTTTTATTACAAAAGAAAACTAGCTACCTACAATTTCACCATATTTGATATGGGCAAACGTAAGGGGTATTGTTACGTATGGGACGAGACTATCGGACGTAAAGGTTCTAACGAAATAAGTAGTTGTGTATTTGATTTCATAAAGACCAAGGTTGAGGAAGGGTACAAGGAGTTCAATTTTTATTCTGATAGTTGCGGCGGTCAGAATAAAAACAGGACAGTTTTTGCAATGTATGCATATGCTACTAAAATATTCAACATTAATATACATCATCACTTTTTTGAAGTTGGCCATTCCCAGTCAGAGAGTGATGCTATGCATGCACTTAAAGAGCGCCGAAAGAAAAACAAAATTATTTACATTCCTCAGCAATGGGTGACATTAATCAGATGCGCCAAATCCAATGGCGAACTTTATGAGGTCCAAGAAGTAAGCCAAAGCATGATATTAGATATGAAACAGCTATTGTCTTATTATAATAACTGGGATCAAGACCTAAATTATACAAAAGTCTCTTGGAGTAAAATAATGCATATACATTTTAGTCGTGATTTACCGCATATTATTAAATTTCAAGATGATTCGCTAAGTGATTATGAAATGACTATAGATTTGCTGCAGCAGAAAACTGTTGCGCTTCGAGCATCAAAACGAAGATGTATTAAAGAGATTCAAAGTGATTGCATAAAAGAATTGCCTAAGACTATTGCAAAGGCTTATAGTGCACCTCTGCCTCATCTTTAAATTTCGCCAATGTTATATTGGCGAAATTTAAAGATCTAGTGAGCCTCTGTAAAGCCATGGCAATTCCTCAAGTATACCATGACTATTACATGACATTGCCGCACGCAACTGACACACGCCAAAATGATTCTTTAGATTCTAATTAGGTAGACCCGAAAACATCTTTGCTCTCCATAAAAAATATTATTAAAATATTTTCTAATTTGATTTCATTGGTAGCGCTATTTGAACGGGGAAAACCACTCCGATTCATTAGTTTATATATGATTATATTAATGAAAATAAAGACTGCTAATTAATAAAGTACATTTTAATTTCTAATTGTATTCCTAGAATACATACTTATACAATTTAAAAGTTGTATCTCAGACATACAATTATTTCATTTAAAAAATCTAACAATTTCTTACAATAAATGATATACAATCATTCTGTATATCATTTATTGAGTCTGAGTTGAGTCTGAGTCTGAGTTACAATGTCATTGAAAAAATAAAAAGTTCATGAATTTTACTGTAACTTGCAAAAACATACAAATTTATCGTTCAATAAATAAATTTAATACGTGATAATGCTACAATAGCTTAGGTTTAGCCGTTTATTCTTAGATTCTTCAAGCATAAGGCCTTATCCAAAATTTGTAAGAATTTTTTTAAACTTTGAGGCGCTCTCCTGTGAAGCGTCCCAAACTGAGTTACGATGTTCTTCCTTGCAAGTGTCGATTTATTCGTATACTTAATTATTGAATATGATAAAACTTATGAAATAAACGTTCGTGGCACTAGGTGTAAGATTTTTAGGAGACGGGAGACTGTTACCTAGGATTTTGTTTCCAAATACATTCAATAGGCAGCAAGTTTATTTATCTATAAAGATAAGCATCAGTTTTTAAACTTGCGGTGGAGTTAGAGGTGGCATATAAAAGATGTTAAGGGCTTACTTTCCTAAAACCTCTTATTTTCTCTTGTGAATGTATCCTTTGACGCCTTGTCAAAGTGTAACCACGATGATCCAGTATTTTTAGGAGATAAGTTTCCTTCAGGGGTTATTAAGTTTATAATTTGCCGGCGAATGAAATTTTATTTTAAATTTATAACAACGCGATCAAAAGCGCCGTTTCGTTTTACAATTTTAGTTTAGTCGAGATGTTTTTAAACCAAATTCATTATTAGACCTTTTTTCTCATTTTCGTGTTTTTATCATTTTATTTTTAAAACCAAATTGAAAGTCATTAAATAAATGAATTTAATAAATATACTAAAAAAGTATATTAAATTGTGTCACAATAAAACATTTTTTTTCTCGAATTCAGTTATAAGATATTTTAAGTTAGTCAGAAGCGCGTCACCTGTGGCCGCTACCATTTTAAAAATGCAGATGCATTATTTGTTAGTCCGATTCGATCTTGCATTTGCACATCACGAGTATCGTTTGCGTCCTATTATTAGTTTGTAGATTGTTAAATGTTGTATTGTTATAAATTACTAAAGTAGTGAGAATGGAGGAAAAGGCAATCACGGCGTCCAAAGAGTATCTTGGAACCTCAAGCAGGTTAGTATATTATTCAAATTGATTTATTATCAAAGAAATTTTAATAGCCGTAAAAACGTATAGTTTAAAAAAAATACATATATCATAGTTTAAAAAAAAATACATTAGTTCTTGGATAAATTGCTTACCATTATAAATATTATATAATGCATAAGTCGTCGTTGATTGAATCTTCAAAACAAAATATTTTTAGGTAACCCGAATTTCGATAAAGATTAAAAGTTGTTAACATATTACTAAAGGCGATCTAAATGTTTTTATCTTCTCCCTATGGCTTCATCTCATTGCTATACGGGGTAGGTTTAATAATTACGTTTTCGTTTCAGGTCAATCTTCATCAATACCCCTCTCTTCAATCAATTCTCCTATAAAAAGAGAAAGCCGACAACTTTGTCAAACGGCGAAAATTAATATGTTATAAATACATGACCAGAAATTGAATACTAATCAAATCAGGCCATGGTAGCTAAGATATCTGAAACTAGCCGATCGAGTGAAAGGTCCATTTATGGAAATTTATGGGAGTGCAAAGATACTCACACATTTAAACCAAAAGGTACCACAAAAAATAAGATGAACATTATTCACAAATTGGATGGATTTGAAATTTGAAACAGCTATAAGGGAAAAAGTCCATAGCTTTTTCATAGAAGGTAAAATAATTTCAGATATAACTTAATGTATTTTATTGGTTTAAATTCATTTTAAATGCCGATTTATGAGTGGTTTTTTAAGTACAAATAATGATATTTAAATTTTAAGAAAAAATCTCTAAAAAATAAATGAAGATAGCGCTTTGCCAAATTTAACCAAAACATCTTTAAGACAAGTTCTAAAACACCTGAAATTTAAATTTCAAAAACATCAACGAAAAAGCATATAATAAAACGTCCGGAGACAGTTATTTGGCAGATAAAGTATTTAAAGGAAATAGAAAAATTTCGAAGTGCAAATCGCAATATTTATTATTTGGATAAAACTTGGATTAACGCAAGAATAAAAGGTATGATTCTGTATGATATGATTCATTTGACATATTTAAAATTTTTGCGTATATTTATTAATTTTCAATTGCTTAAGGTCACACTGTTACAAAACATGGACCGATACAACGGTAACTTCAACACATTAAGCGTTTATAGAGGTGTGTCACCTGGCGCCAAGCATCCTAAAGGAAAAGGAAAACGTTTGATTGTTGTGCAAGTAGGCAATGAAAATAGATTTTTGGAGAAATGCGAGTAGGTGTTTGAATGTGGAAAAACTAGATATTACCATGATACAATGGATGCAGTAAATTTTGAGAAATGTTTGAGTTAATAAATTACAGCCTAATGACGTTGTAGTCATGGATAATGTCAGTTATAATTCCAGGTATCTATTAAATTATATTCTACGTAAAAAACAGACCCAAAAACACACAATATACCAAAATATTTATTTTAAATTCGTAATTTTATTTCAGACGATTCGAAAAAACACCCACATTATCTTGGAGAAAATAGGTAATATATTATACATATACATAATGTAAAAGATTGGTGGAATGAAAAAAAAACATTTCTTCAACGAAAGTGACACCAAAGCACATTTGCTTATAAGTGCAATCTATCAAAGAAAGCTATTTCAATATGTTAACTCGCGTCATAGGCATTTATAAATTACTACGTGGAAAAAAAAAAGGTTTATGATATATATCAAGCTCGGAATTCAAAGACTGTCCTGTACCGTGGTACGTTTTATTAGTCCCTTGTAGCGATAGTATCCATACGATTTGTTCATTTTGTCCATAATAATAGAGTACATTGGTACAGAGGAGGTGAATGACCTTTATTGCACGTTTATCTGGCACGTACTACAATATATTTCCTCTTAATTATACAAAAAAAAAATATACAAAAATGGGTTTTGATATAATCTAAAATATATTTTTTTTATAACTGCATTTGATTTTTTCTGTGAATAAAAATGTATGAAATAAAGCGAGTGTGTCTTTATTTACTCTGTCTTTACAAGGGAATGAAATCTCGTTCTCGCGAGATCTCGACTTTTTTTGGTGAGATTGATCTTGGTCGAAAAATGGGCGAGACCTCGCGAGTTTAGCGAGATTGCGCTCGAGTACAAAAAACGATTTATTATTAGTGCGAGGTATTATTATACGAGTCCGGGGGGTTAAAAGGCAAAGTTTAACATTTTTACAGTACTTGTGTTTTTGTAAGGGTCTCAGTGGCTCGTTATCTGGCCAGCACAATAATAAAACGAATAGCAAAGATCCTTTGGACATTTTGTGCTTCTTAAGAAGTTACTTTCAAAATTATTCGTAATAATGACGTGTGAACTGAACTGAATAAGACTTTAAATTGATTAATATATTTTGTTAATTTATTCTCTAATTTGTAATAGACCTCTGGGTACACATAATTTTCTTTCATTGATAATAATGAGTACCTGGATGACTAAGCTTTACTCGGCACTTTTATAAAATAAAAAATTAAACCTAACTAAATCGATTTATCGCCTCTGAAAGTCAGAAATACCTAATGTCATGAAAATTATTGGAGCCGTTTCCGAAATTATAATAAAGTAATTGCTCTTTTAAAGATTTTAGATAAAATAATATAATTGCGTCAAACAATGTAATGTAAACACACAAAAGTGCCTATCTCGCGAGATCTCGTAATTGGCGAGATCTCGCGGTATTGATATTCTTAAATTAGCGAGATCTCGCCCGAGTCCCAATCTCGCGAGATTGCATTCCCTTATCTTCTCGCGAGATTGCATTCACTCTCGAATCGTATTTGTATGCGAACATAAGCGGAGGTAGGTATATCTAAGGGAAATATCTAACAAATGTTTTTTTTTCGTTCTAGGGTGATTCCGGCGGGCCTTTGGTTTGTGGTGGTGTACTGGTAGGGCTAGTTTCATGGGGAGGCGTTTGTGGCGTTCAACCAGGCGTATATACGCGCCTAGCAAGCTTCACTACCGGAGATTTAGTTCCTTTTGTCATCAATAACGCCCGCACACTTGTAGAATTTGAGTGTGTATTAGCGGGATCCGCTTTGATATTAAATATATTATTGTGGTCATGAATGCTAAGTACTCATTTTTACTATTTCCTTTCCTTTTAAACTTTATGTATTGTCAGCATTCATTGTTCGTCGTACGTAATATAATGTCATAATCTAGAGGGTTCGAAAAGTCCGGTCATAAAATGGATGATAAAAAATTAATTATTTCGAGCTCTTTCATGCTTCACCAAGTATATTAAGCCGTTGGTCCCCGCTACATTTGCATTCGTTATACCCACCATATCGCACTGTACCAAGGTGGGTGAGGCATGGCTCATTTTTTCTATTCGAGTCTATCCAAAGAGCTGGTCTGCAGAGCGACCACCTAACTCTAGCCGTAGGATACGACATCTAATCGATGTTATGGCGATGTTTCGTTTCATT